TCCAGGGGCGCTTCCCGGAGCTGTCAGTGATTCCAGGGGCGCTTCCCGGAGCTGTCAGTGATTCCAGGGGCGCTTCCCGGAGCTGTCAGTGATTCCAGGGGCGCTTCCCAGAGCTGTCAGTGATTCCAGGGGCACTTCCCGGAGCTGTCAGTGACTCCAGGGGCGCTTCCCAGAGCTGTCAGTGATTCCAGGGGCACTTCCCAGAGCTGTCAGTGATTCCAGGGGCTTCCCAGTGACTCCAGGGACACTTCCCAGTGACTCCAAGGGCACTTCCCAGAGCTGTCAGTGGCTCCAGGGGCGCTTCCCAGTGACTCCTGAGTCACTTCCCAGAGCTGTCAGTGACTCCAGGTGCTTCCCAGTGATTCCAGAGTCACTTCCCAGAGCTGTCGGCGGCTCCGGGCGCTTCCTAGTGACTCCAGGGTCACTTCCCAGAGCTGTCAGTGACTCCAGGAGCACTTCCCAGTGACTCCCGAGTCACTTCCCAGAGCTGTCAGTGGCTCCAGGTGCTTCCCAGTGACTCCAGGTGCTTCCCAGTGACTCCAGGGGCACTTCCCGGAGCTGTCAGCGGCTCCGGGCACTTCCCTGTGACTCCAGGGGCACTTCCCGGAGCTGTGTGCGGCTCCGGGCGCTTCCCGGCCGCTCCATCCGCTTCCCGACACCTCCCTTCCCGCAGGGCCGCTTCACCATAGCCGCCAAGCACCACATCTCCATCGCGGAGATCTACGAGACGGAGCTCGTGGACATCGAGAAGGTAACGGGAATGGGCATCCCGGCTCCGGCTCGCGTGGGCGGCGGGAACGGGCACCGGAGCAGCCGGGAAGGGATTCCCGCCGCGGGGCCAGGTGGACGCGCAGCTCCCGCTCGGCGCCCGCGCCGCATCCCAGATGGTTTGGGGGGGCGTTCTTCCCTCCTCCCGAGTTTTTCCGCGCGCTCCGTGCTGGCCGGCAGGGAAGGCAGCCAGGTTTCTTTCCAAGGGAGAGCGGTTTCCACGTTGACGCTCGGATCTAATTCCGACTTCGGCTCGCTCGGCGAGTTAATTTCGGGCTGTTCTTGACACGTCTCCGCCATCCCACTTGACAACTCCCGGGAATAGCAAGAGCCGCCCGTTGCCATGGCGACTTCCCAAATGCAGCTCCCGCTTCCCGGGCCTCTCCCGGCTCCCTGGCCACATCCTGGGGCGCATCCTGCTCCGGAGTAACCGGCTCACGGCCGGATTTGCCCCCGGCTCCAATCCCGGGATTTGTCCTGAACCCCGCCTTGCAGAACAGGCTGGAAAGAGGGATAACATTCCCTGCTGGTTGTTGGGAGCGCCTCGGATGCGCTCGGGGGGCCTCGATCCCGCGGGAGCGCTCGGGGCCGCGGGCGGGAGGCTCCGCTCGGATGCGCGCGTTCCCACCGGAGCGCCGTTCCCGCAGGCCATCGCGCACTACGAGCAGGCTGCCGACTACTACCGGGGGGAAGAGTCCAACAGGTAGGAAGCGCCGCGTTCCCGCTGGGAAGCGGCCCTGGGATGCAGGGGGCACCCAGCACTGGATTTAGGGGCACATTGCACACCCGTCCTGGCATTCCCGCTGGGAAGCGGCCCTGGGATGCAGGGGGCACCCGGCACTGTGGATTTAGGGACATGTTCCACACCCGTCTTGGCATTCCTGGTGGGAAGTGACCCTGGGATGCAGGGGGGCACCCAGCACTGGATTTAGGGACACATTCCGCAGTGCCCCGGCATTCCCAGCGGGAAGCAGCCCCGGGATGCAGGGGGGCACCCAGCACTGTGGATTTAGGGGCACATTCCGCAGTG